TGAGACCGTCTCACGTAGCCTAGGCTGCCTTGTTATATAGCCAAGGATGACCTTGAATTCCTGATCCCCCTGCCTCTACCTTCTAGGAGCTAGGATTACAGGCATGCACCACCACGCCCTGACTTCTACAGATTTTTAAATCTAAAATGTGAAATAAGCATCAGTGAGCCACGTTCTCTCCTTTGTCACCAGGGAATGCCCAGAAATGCATCATCTAATATAGAAACGTTTGGCCCTTTGCTTTTGGTCATGTGGTCTAAGACAGCAAAGCCATTGTTATAGGAACATTCTTAGCTAGTCAGTGGCTCAGCTTTCTGCATTCTTCCCTCTTCTCTTTGTTATTTGTTCTGTGGCATCCACAGTACAGACTCCATTGAGTTGACTTTGAATGTTTTGTTAATGTGCCTGTAGAAGAAGTCTGTTAAGTACCTACTGAGAACTCAATTACTCACAAGCAAGTGGCTTGCTTTCCAGATTCAATTTGTTTTTGTTTTTTCTTTTTTTAAATTTCTGATTTTGAGAGAGGGTTTTTTTTTAGCCTAAGAGACCTCACTCTATGCACTGAGGCCAGCCTCGAACCCCTGTTCTTCCTGTCTCTGCCACATGAGTGCTAAGATTTAAGGCCTCTGTCTTTAAGCCCAGCTTCAGATTCAAAGGTTTTGAAGAAACGTTAAGTGTAAGGTCTGATTTCTCTATCTACCCAATAGCATGTTCTTTTAGTAACGTAGGCTTCTTCGATATCTGCAACAATACGTTATTAGTAACATAAATCTCCAATGAAAATATCGATTTTTCAGTTATCCACGAACAATGCATTGCATAAACTCTTCCCCTGACCGACCAGACTGTGAAAAGAGGAAGACCCGGGAGCTGCTCAGAGAAATCCTTCTGCTTTCGTCTCTTTCTCCCACCAGGCCTCCTAGCCAGCTGGTCCCCCGAGTCCTTCGTCTCTCCTGCAGCTATGAAGCGAGTTCAGTGTGCCTTGTTGCTTCTTCAAACACTGGCAAGATGGAAGCTGTCCAGAACCAGACAGAAACACAAGCTCGTTGCTACTCAACCTCAGGCGCTGAGAAACGATGCTTTGACGGGTCTGTGTGCAAGCTCTAACCACAACGGATGGTTTCTACTTAGAGAAAGTTAATGCGGGTCTCAGTGATCTCATGTCTATATTCTCTGTGTTTAACGCCTGCAGCTGAAGAATCTCCTTTTGCTTCCTAGGGCGCTTTCTGCGCCTTCGTTTTCACACTCCTGCTGTATTCAGTGAGCATTTAAGAGTAGATGCTGGGCTACACATCTCCCATACACAATCTCATTTAATTGTCCCACTGTCTGGTAAGGGAAGCATTCTGAACATTTTACAGATTAGAATCCTGAGTCCTAGGGGGCCGGAGGGGTGGGGCAAGGGTTAGCTCTTCCTGCTCTTGTGAAGACTGGGGTTTGGGTCCGAGCACCCACATCAGGTGGTTCACAACCACCTGTAACTCCAGTTCCAGGAGATCTGATGTTCCCTTCTGGACTCCACAGGCACCTCCACACGTGTGGTGCACGTATACTTAAATAAATATAAAGTAAACCTAAACATTTTCTCAAAAAGAAAAGAAAACTGGGGCTGAGAGATGGCTCAGCAGTTAAGGACACTGGCTGCTCTTCCAGAGGCCCTGGGTTCAACTCCTAGCACCCACAAGGCAGCTCACACCTGTCTTTAACTCCAGTTCCAGGGCTTCTGATACTCTCACACAGACATACATGCAATCAAGACACCAATGAACATAAAATAAAAATAAATTATAAAAAAAGAAAGGAAGAAAGAAAGAAAAGAAAAGAAAAGAAAAGAAAAGAAAAGAAAAGAAAAGAAAAGAAAAGAAAAGAAAAGAAAAGAAAACTGAGGCTAAAGAAGTCATCCATCCTAGGCTCTCAGGTGGGCAGAGGTGAGGCTGAGCTGCCCTCCCGGAACTAACACCCACCACAGAGATTGCTGCTTTAAGACTTAACTCACAACCAACCTGTCTTTTACTTTTTTTTCACGGAGCACATTTTTGTAGAAAGAACGTGTTGGTTTGGCTCCGACCCCAACCCAGAGGCTCACGTGTTCGAAGACTTGTTCTGGAGCTGATTCGGTCACTGAGAGGTGAGGGGGTCCTGAGGGTCTGACTTAGTCACTGGGTTAATCCACTGACGGATTCATTATTTGACGGAATTCTTTGGAGGTGATAGAATCCCGTGGGGGTGGGGCCCACACAGAAGTAGGTCCCTGGGGACTTGTCCTTGGCATGCTTTCCTATTCTGGACCCTTCTCTGTCCCACTTCCTGGTCGTCATGAAGTCAAAAGCCCTGCTCCCCGCACCCTTCACCATCACGCTCTGCCTCATCAGAGCCCAGAAACAATGAGGCCAAAAGACTGCGGACTGAAGCCTCTGAACAGTGAACCAAGGTAAGTCCTTCCTCCTCAAGCTGTTTGCTCCAACAGTTTGTCCCAGAGTCAAAAAGCTGACTGACGCAGCAATTATTGCCCTCAATGAATTTAATTTTAAAATAACTCATTTTTAGCTTTTTTCCAGACTTATATGTGACATGAGATGTATTTCTTTCTAATAATGTCTGGGCTGAAGAACCAAGTTTGCCACGTGGAGATCTCATCTCAGAGTTGGTAACTTACTGTTACATTGAATGTGATTCATTTAAGGCTTAAATTTGTTCCTGGCTGGCAAATTGTGACTTCCTGGCTTAGAAAAATTCTCTGGGGTGGGGGAAAAAAAAGAATCTCCTCCTAAAATGGCACCATGAAATAGTCTACAATCTACAACATTTTAATGACCTCATTGTAAGTGAATTAGAAACATTCAAATACAATTTACTTTAAAATAGATCTGGGTGTTAAAATAAGGGACAGCTGGCCGTTGGGATTCTTCTGACTTCAACCAAGGAGAGATATTTGCCCCAGTAAGATACAATGTAATTTAGAAAAATAAAACAACTTAAAAAACATTACAGTTCTGTATGAGAGACAAAACCTCCTAACACATCAAGAGAAAAAAGGCACCAAGGGAAAACTGTCTTTTTCACAAACAAACATCTATCATTGAGAATAGCCTCACTTGAAACCGTTAAATGTCTATTTTGTATTTACAAAGCTATAAGATGGGTCTGAATGCCTGACTAACTCCTGAAAGGCGTCACATCAGAAAACCTGAGCCTGAATGGAGGCTGGCTCTAGGGCAGCATTATGGACATCTTATGTCTCATCAACTCTGTTAACCCTACTATAACAACGCAAGTGTGAGGCAGTTCATTCCTACTGGACAGCTGGGAAAAGGAAGAGATGAAGGGCCATAAGCAGAGGCAGGTTGTGAGGCAAGGACAAGGTCCCCCGGTGCTAACCTCTGACTTATGGCCTCTCCTTGAGGAGCTCCCAGGAAATATAAGCCTGGGTTAAAATATTTCACCAAAATGCAAGGGTTTCTATGTTGCATAAAAGCAGCAAATTGGATATTCTCTGATAGCAAAATGATGCAGGTTCCCAGGAAGTAGAAACAATATTGCATATGGCACAGATTCCCCATGCTTCCCTATGGGTGACCAGTGCTTTAAAATATTTGAAAATTCCTCTACTGTAGTTTTAAAAGAAAATGGCTAATAGTGATATTATTAGGAGGTGCGGCCTTGTTAGAGGAAGTGTGTCACTGTGGGGGTGGGCTTTGAGGTCTCTTTTGCTCAGACTTCCCTCAGTGTGACTGTTAGTCGACGTCCTGTTGCCCACAAGACGTAGCTCTCTCAGCTCCAGCACCACATCTGCCTGCACGCCGCCATGCTCCCGGTCCTGATGATAATGAACTGAACCTCTGAAACTGTAACTGAGCCACCCCAATTAAATGTTTTCTTTATAAGAGTTGCCATGGTCATGGTGTCTCTTCACAGCAATAAAAACCTAAGACGCCTACTAACTGTGAGATATTAAATAAACAAAATTTTTATTTGGCAAGTATATGGGTAAAACCAAGGTACCAGTAAAACTAAGAATTCCAAAACCCTCATTGGAGTGAACATCTCCACTAATAGCGTTCATTGCCTTTCCAGGGAAGGTTTGCATTTTGTAAAATTTTCTTCTAAGATATTATAATTAGATTCTCATATTTCTTTCGGTTTTCTATGCCTTTTTGGAGGTGAGGAGGGGTTGAGGCAGGCTCATGCTATGTAACCCAGGCTGTCTTCCAAGTCATGGGAATCCTCCTGCCTCAGCCTCTTGAGTGCTGGGATTACAGGTGTATTACCATCATACCCAATTTTTTTTTGAGCCTTCATTTAAACAAAGTAGTTTTACCAGGCGACTGGATTTACAGAGCCCCTTCTTGCAATGTGCGCATCTTATTTTCTGTAGACATGCACACACACACACACACACACTGACCTGGATAGTTAGTAAGCCTTTATCACCAGGTTTGCATTCTCATCCTCCTCCTCAAGCCCTGCTCATCTTTCTGTCTTTTTCCCTCAGCCAGCTCTCTTATATAATGCAGGGCTACCTGCTTAGGGAATGGTAGCCCCCACAGTGGGCTGGGTATTCCCACATCAATGAACAATCTGTGACAGACCTTCCTGTCTCAACTTTTTCCCACTAAAACTGTGTGCTTCCTTCCTTATGTTTTTACCTCATAATTTTTAAGGGTCTCGGTTACTTTCATTCCTTTGACCCCAGAGACTGCAATGTCCTCAGAGGGTACAGAACAATCTTTTAACCTCCACTTCATAGTACACTTCTGTAAAATATCCAACTCAGGTTTTGAATGGAAATAATAACTGAGTCTCAAACTGACTGAAAAACCTGGGAATAAGCCAGGCAGTGGTGGCGCACACCTTTAATCCACTTGGGAGGCAGAGGCAGGGGGATCTCTGAGTTTGCGGCCAGCCTGGTCTACAGGGTGAGTTCCAGGACAGCCAGGGCTACACAGAGAAACCCTGTCTTGAAAAACAAAAACAAACACAAAACAAAAACAACAATCACATTGCTGATACTTCCCACTTTACTAGATGGTCATTTCCAACAATTGCTCAGCCTTATCCCGATGTGTCTGTTCAGACTGTGATCTTCAAGACCATCTGTACTTGGATCCATTACCCCCCACTGTGGGCTAGATTTGACTGGAGTTACAGATTGGCAGGAAGTGTACATCTACTGGGCCACTCACTCCGGCAGCTGCCGCCACCATGAAGACCCCAGATGGGGTTCACACAGCTTTCTAAGCAACCTCCCACCTCCAATGCCTGGATGTTGGGTTGGGAAGAAAGGCCACTATCCTGCTTCAGCAGTGTCCAGCCCATTGTGAATGTTACCCTGCCTTGGACAGTTGGTCCTGCCTTGTATCTGGCTCAACACAGCCGGAAGGAGCACACCAGTAAGCAGCAGCTTTCATCCTCTGTCTCTGCTCCAGGTTCCTGTCTGGAGTTCCCTCAGTGATGGACCTGGAAATAGAGGATAAAATAAACCTTTTCCTCCTCAAGTTGCTTTGGGTTAGAGTATTTTACGACAGCAACAGGAAGCAGAGTAGAACCAAGCACCTTCAGCAAATTACTGAAAATCAAGACCCAATGCATAACATGTACGTTTTAAAGAAGAAAACAGATTATATTAAAATACCTAAAAAAGTTCACATTTTTTTTTTTGCTACATTAATATATCTCTTCTTTATTGACATACATCAAGATCTAGCAGAGAGGCTACATGATAACAACTGTAATTCGAGACACCTGCAACAACCAAATGTCCCGGAGGAAACGATCTTTTCTATTGATGATTGAATTGTTGATACATATTCTCCTGCCTTGGTGGTTTACTGTCTACATTCATAATGAAACAAATGCTAAATGTCAGAGGGTAATAAAAACGGGGCACTAACATGTACATTATTACGTTTTCAGTAAAGTCCTGCCTGAGTGTCCCTGAAACAAGTTTTTCCATACTAAAAAAAGAATGCCTCAAAAGTCAACACCTTTCTGGAAGCCCCACCCTATGCCCGGGAGGCACAAGCCTTCAAGCCACCCTCGTGGACCTCAGAGCTGTCTCTCGGCGGTTCTCCTTCTAACGAGACCAGGAAACTTGGGTAAGAAAAGGGGACAACAGCCGAACTCCAGGTCCCCAAATGGAGGACTCAGAGTCAGCAAGGCTGAGTTTCCTATTCCTCCCCCCCCCCCCCCCCCCCCGCTCCCCACTATTCATCTGCAAAGAGAATCCCACTTCCTAGGATTGAACGTGATGGACGACTGTGTTTTTAAGTAATAGAGCACTGTCGAAGTGTGCTAGTGCAACGTCTTCGACACTTGGGGGTCCCTGGGGAGCTACTGAGTATACAAGCATCAATCCATCCGCCAGAGCTGAGCACGGTTAGGCGCGTCTTGAACTCCTGGAGAATGGATGAGCCAAGTAAGACTTTGCACATCGGCCCACAGCTCGGGGAACTACCGGCTTCAGGGGACCTGGACCGCACTTCGGGGTTGGGGGGGGGGAAGGGACAGGTAGGAAGACGCCTGGGTAGCATTCCGGGGCTCCGGGACGCAGGGGGCGCTTCCGGGCAGGTGGCGGGACGGTGGGAGGGCGGCCGCGGGGCTCGGCGCTGCGGGACGGGGCGGGGCCGGTTCGGGAAGGTGCCCATGG